TTCCCCTGAAGTGCTAAAGCACAAATTTCGGACCTAACTTTTTTGTTTGCACTTTAGTGCTTTTACTAATTTTTTGATCTGATTGTGGATTTGTATTTTCTAAATTTATGAATGTAATAATGCTAATTTAATTATTTCATCTTTTACTGACGATCATTACTTTGAACAATGGAGGGAGAAAGCTGTTTGAAGTTAATACAATGTAAAATTATTGTATTTGAACGTCAATCGTCTGTTCTCAGAAGCTATTTACTCTGACTTTCCTCGTGGTTTTCATTTAAGAGACAATTCCCACAATTCTTTGTGTTTACATGGCAGGAAGCAATTGGAGCTACGTCAACGGGCGACAGTCCCAGCCCTTCTCCACCGGTGCGTCTGCTGTGGTTCTGCTCGGTTCAGCTTTGGCTGAATGTGTCTCCAGGTTCCAATCTTACAGAACCACACAGAACCAGCTGCACAGTTTGTACCTCCTCTCTTGCCCCTTTTCCATTAGTGCCACTTGTGTAGTGTTGGTACGGTTCGGTACGGTTCCAAGCCATTTCCATTAGGTCAGATTCTTGGAATCAGCCTTTTTTTTGTTCCTACTTCATTGTAGTTCCAAGTGGTCCCAGTAGACACCAAAATGCAACATCAGAACACTGTTTGTCACTGATTGGCTAGGGGGGTGGAGTCACTGGTTGGGTCTGAACTGCCTTTACAACAACAACTCGAGGCGCCATTTTTTCAGTTGTAGCAGCAACATTAGTCGTGTTTCCATCCAACTTTAATTCGAATTTTTTGCGAATTTTTTAAATTTCCGAACTTATTCAGCAAACGTGTTTCCAGCTCTCATTTTGCGCATTAACTCTTTTTTGAAAAACCCAAAAAACCCCTCTACCAACCACCCAAAACACACCCACTGGAACCGGACTGGAACGTCAATGGAAAAGCACCTGAAGAACTGACCCGTACTGACACTGACCGAACCACCACTGACTGTACTGACACTGACCGAACCAACACTGACCCGTTCTGACACCGACCATACCAACACCTTACTGACACTGACCGAACCAACACTGACTGTACTGACACTGACCGAACCACCACTGACTGTACTGACACTGACCGAACCAACACTGACCCGTTCTGACACTGACCGTACCAACACTGACCGTACCGACACTGACCCGTTCTGACACTGACCGTACCAACACTGACACTGACAGTACCAACACTGACACTGACAGTATTAACACTGACCGTACCGACACTGACAGTACCAGCACAGACCGTACCAACACAGACCCGTTCAGACTCTGAATGTACCGACACTGCCACTGACCGTACTGACACTGACCGTACCAACACTGATCGTTCTGACACTGACCGTACCAACACTGACCCGTTCCGACACTGACCGTACCAACAMTGACCCGTTCTGACTCTGAATGTACCGACACCGACACTGACCGTACTGACATTGACCGTACCAACACTGACCGTACCAGCACTGACCCGTTCTGACACTGATTTTACCAACACTGACAGTACCAACACAGACACTGACAGTACCAACACTGACCGTACCGACACTGACACTGACAGTACAGCACTGACCGTACCAACACTGACCCGTTCCGACACTGACTGTACCAACACTGACTGTACTGACACTGACCATACCAACACTGACCCGTTCTGACTCTGAATGTACAGACACTGACACTGACCGTACCGACACTGACCATTCTGACACTGACTGTTCCAAAACTGACCGTTCCGACATTGACCATACCAACACTGACCGTTCTGACACTGACTTACTGACACTGACCCATACCGACACTGACTGTACCAACACTGACTGTACCAACACTGACTGTACCAACACTGACTGTACCAACACTGACCGTTCTAACACTGACATTACAAAACTGACCGTATCGACACTGACCCGTTCTGACACTGACTGCACCAACACTGACCGTACCGTCACCGACCGTACCGACACCGACTGTACTGACACTGACCTTACCGACACTGACCGTTCTGACACTGGCCGTACCGACACTGACCGTACCGACACTGACCATTCTGACACTGATCGTTCTGACACTGACTGTTCCAAAACTGACCGTTCCGACATTGACCGTACCAACACTGACCGTTCTGACACTGACTGTACTGATGCTGACCCATATTGACACTGTAACAACACTGACTGTACCAACATTGACCGTTCTGACACTGACCATTCCAAAACTGACCGTATCGACACTGACCCGTTCTGACACTGACTGCACCAACACTGACCATACCGACACTGCCTGTTCCAACACTGACCTTACCGACACTGAACGTTCCGACACTGGCCGTACCAACACTGATATTACCGACACTGACTGTTCCGACACTGGCCGTACCAACACTGACCTTACCAACACTGACTGTTCCGACACTGACCGTTCCGACACTGACCGTACCGACACTGACCTTACCAACACTGACTGTTCCGACACTGACCGTTCCGACACTGACCGTACCGACACTGACCTTACCAACACTGAC